GAGCCAAACATGAGCTGAGCCCGGGCTCACTTGTGCTCGGCTCCTTTACACCCCCTATCTTATATACACATGGTGCATAGACTTTATATACACATGGTGCATATACTTCTGTAATGTGTTCTCATATACTTTACTAAATTGATCACTGCATTCATATACAAGCAATTCATTTACAACTGGAAGTCCAATGAGTTTTTCTTTAGCATTCATATGATATTAATGCTATTAGCGTAGCTGCATCCATTTCTTCCTAAGGTTGCATTATTCAATGGAGAACTCATCCACATCGTCATTCAAAGACGAGCTCGCATCTCTTAATATGAGACCCTCATTGATTAATCCTCCCACTACAAAATTCTCATGTCCAAATTCAAATCTATCATTCATCCCCAACTCCCCAACAACAACCATCCAATTTGGAGAGCTCAAACCCTAAAACTCTTTACATCCAATGGCTTCGACAATTTCCTGGACAGAACAAACTCATGCCCCAGCAAAGCCATCACAGACACTACAGGAACAACTCAATCGAACTTCCTTTACAACACCTTACATTCTAAAACTCCCCATGTGTGCCACCGTCTAGCTCACAAACGAAGGACGCCTACAAGCCTCCAACAGATCTCGAGTGATATAGCTAAAAAATGAGCTACACCATATCACAATGCACAAAAAAAGTGCGACTCACTACCTATCTGATATCAAGACACTAATCAACAATATTATCATAGACAAATGTTCAACTGACTACATCTTTAATGACTTACTCATTACTTTTCAAGCGTTCAAAATGACAATTCACACCAAACTACATCCCATGAGACGAGACGATCTCTACTCACGAGACAATTCACACAAGTTAGGTCATTGATCTTAAACAATATGTCAATTAACTTGTGGCAAAAATGGATACTCTATATTTCACTGCTAGCATTGACCAACTTCAACTATCAACCAATCTCTTCTACTACTCCTCAAAGTCTCGCTTAACAGCTCCCCCACCAAACTCTCTCAATTGGTATCAAGATTTAGGTGTAACAACTCACATCACCTCCAGCCTGATCGGTCACACTCAATAGTTGTCTACAATGGCTCCAATCTAATACTTGTATGCAATAATACCTTTATTTTTCTTATTAAATTCAGGAGAAGGATTACTTCTAACTCTCACTCATATGCTTACCTTGTCAAAATTTGTCATACTTCTTCTTTCTCAAAATTTACCATCTGACACATTCTCCAGGACATGTTGAAAACAGCATATGATATTTGCATCAAATTTTTTTGATGCCATTATTTGTGTCTAAATTATGACTGTAAACCGGTGGAAAATAACTTATTATATTTGCGGAGGATTTTGCATCTATTTGTGTGCAATAATTAGACGCAAAAGGCATTCAAGAAACGACAAAACCTAAAGCAGTATTGCGACGGATATAGCGTTGACTTTGCATCAATTAAATCGATGCAACAAATTTACTTGGAAGCATCGAATTACATTGGAAGCAAACTAAGACGACAAGTTCGATTATATTGGGCATTCAAGTCATCAAACGTCCCCAAAGCTATAACCTCAAACAAACCAAACATGGAAAAACTATTATATCTAAAGCAGGCAGGGCAACTTATAAGCCCACCTCCACACCCCTACCATCTAGTTTATCTCATGCACCTCACCCCTTCACTCTCTTCTCCAATCCTCTGTTATACACCAATTAATAGGCTCCATGCCATATCTTATCATCACCCATCTCAACTTGGTCGTTGTCGTGAATTACCTTAGAAAATCAATGCACAAACCTCTCAATAATCACTAAAGTTCTCAAACTCCTGCTAGTCTACCACAAAGGCACCTCACAACTTAGCCTCCCTATCCTGCATGTCAATCTCCTCATACACACCATTCAAACACAAATTGGGCCACCGATCACATCAATACCTTGGTAATACTTATGTCATGGAGTCTAAGAAAATAATTTATCGCCTCTAAGTCTTCCATTAAAGTCGAATACATAGCCTTGGCTTGACTAACCAGAATATTTTATGCTCCGAAGATTGCTCCTTGATTTTCAATTTCATCTATAATAAACTACAACATTATACCGTGACGACATTTAACCATAGAAATCACAAACAATCCAATAATGTATGCTCTCACCAAACACAATGAGATGTATCATCCATTCATACGCCAAAAAATTCAATGCAGTCTCTGTCATAAGTTTAAGGTAGGTTTTAACCATAAAGTTCGGACACAACAACAAGTGCAACTATATACCGTTCATGAATAACCACTTACCGCATCGTAGACATTCCTTCCTAGCAGACTATCTACTCCACAACAGCAGATTTTATCCCCCTCTCACTTTGTATAGATACATGATGCATGCACCTTTTTAATTGTCTACCCTATTTTTTTGATAATATTTATTCTATTTGCTACCTCTAAATATCTCATGATTTTACCATACATTTAACATCAAATTTCTTATCTATTTTTATTTTATTTTCCAACTCAAAATTGTATATTGTTACCAAATGGAATATATCAAAATTTAAAGTCATCCTAATTAATTAAACTTAATTATGTCCATATAACTTTTTGCCTTTTTTTTCCCATAATTTAGCTCTATGTTTTTATAGCTGTTCACATCATCACATGTCACTTCATAAAATCAAAAATTATTTATTACATACCACACAATTTTCATGTATTTACATATATAACACTCTAAATTTAATATTCACATTTTTAACACCTCATGCCTAGGGGTGTAAAAGAGCCGAACACAAGCGAGCCATGCTCCAGCTCGTGTTCGGTTCGTTTATATTTCAAGCTCAAAAAGTGTGTTCGTGTTCGACTTGTTTGCTTAGCGAGCCGAACACGAGCCGTTCACGAACAAAGAGGCATTTTGA